TGCTATAGAAAACTATTGTTTTGTATGAGTGTATGTATCTCATCAGAATTATTTCTGTGAAGAATGTAATTTGTTTTATTTTAATTCTGACATCTTTTACTTTTTATTATACTTCTTCTTTTATTTTCTACCACTAACTATATGATCTGTATAGTACATGCCCATGTCCACATGCCCATTCTCCGAAAACAGTTTATTTCATAGGTATTTCCTAATACAATTTCTCATAATTTGCTTATATATGTGCTTCTCAGTTTATCCTCTTTAGAAATGAAGTGGTATATAGTAAATTCCTGTATTAGTCAGAAACCATTTGGGCAAATTATTATAATCCAACCTGGTATTCTTTATATAAAAGTCGTAATTGATTGAAAGCCATTGGATCCCAATAGCTAATAGAAATCTAGTGGATTCTAAGGAAGATTTTATTGCTCATGTTATAGGAGACAGAAATAACAAAGCTTTAGGAATTACAGGGACTTAGAATTTCAAGTTGATTGACACTTGGTTTTTCCTTCTTCTCTCAGGAGTTAGCCCAATTTCCTTTTCCCCATATTATATATAAAAGAGCTTTTAAATTTTACTTCTTTCACTTTTATTCATTTGGAAAATATTGGCCTTACTCTCTCCAGACCCCTCTGCTGACACACTTCACAGAAGCCATTGCATCTGCTTGGTCAGGTGCCTGCTCTATGTATGTATCTATGTAATGAGATTGCATTTGGTAATTCTGCCATAGACACAAGAAAGGAGAATCACGGGTAGGAATGTGGTTTTGAGAATCACAGGAGTTTTGACAGACAAAAGCATGTATCCTGTGCTCTTGCCATCGCTTTTATCCTTCATCATCCAATAGTTAACTTCCGAAATTTCTAACTCAACTGTGTTCCTTAGTATGTGGTCATAATGCTTTCTTATACAAAGAAAGAAAGAAAGAAGAAAGAAAAGAAATAACATGTTTGAAGCAGTAAATTTAGAGAAGAGAAAGAGGAGAGACTTGTCATTGGAATTCATGACTGAAGATTCTGATAACAATATTAGTGCAGTTTAATTTCTAAAGAACATCTTCATTTAGTAATAAAGTAAATCAATTTTTGTAATTTCACACAGCAAGTGGTGTGTGTGTGTGTGTTTCATATGTGTTGCTTGAGTCCCTTTTCTTAATTTGATAAATTCTGCCGCAAACTGCCCGGCCCCGGGCCGGCTGAGTCCCGCTCCTGCTGCCGAGCACTGCCTGTGGCACCCCTGCTGAGCGATTCCCTGCTGAGCTGTCAGTGCACGCGGGCTTGCAATCTTGCAACCCGGTTGGGCACAAAAACACAAGCCAGTCAAACTGAGACAAAGTTTTATTTAGAGAGAGGCCGTGTGCGTCCCCTAACAGGTGGGCCCGCCACGTGTGTGTTCTACCTGAGCCCGGGGGGTTTCCACTTCCCCCGGAACACCCTCCTACCATCCTTTTCCAACCAATGGGAACTCTCCCATTACAAGAGTGACATGAGTAACCTGAGTCTTGAAATGGGCCCAGCTGAACAGCATGAGTCCAATTACCATATGAATGTGAATTGCTGGCTGGCAGTCATTAAATCCAAAGGTGCCTATATCAATATTTTTGCTGTGGCTCCTAACAAATTCTATTCTGGATTGCTTTGAAACATGAACATCTCTCCAAACTGAATGTTCAGATAATGTGAGAGTTTTCTCCACACTATTATAGTATGTCCCTAAGCTGGAAAGTGCATGTTAATTTTTTTTTAAGAGAGAGAGAGAGAGAGAGAGAGAGAGAGAGAGAGAGAATTTTAAATATTTTTTATTTTTTATTTTTCGGCAGACACAACATCTTTGTATGTGGTGCTGAGGATTGAACCCGGGCCGCACGCATGAAAGGCGAGCGCGCTACTGCTTGAGCCACATCCCCAGCCCCAAATCTTGATGTACTTGATCAATCATCAGAATTCTACTGCATCTTGTTATTGTTCTTTGTGAGTTTTTACAAACAGTTATTATTTTTCCTTACTTTCAGGGACGTTTTTATTTTTATTTTTTTCCTATTTAAATTTCTTTATGCTCATCTTCACTGGTGATTTTCTAGCTTCTCTCTTGTAATGATTTTTCTAATTGATCTTATGAGCTTTTCATATAAATAACATTAATTTCATCAAAATGGTCTCTCAATGCTCTTCATCTTTGAGCAAACATCCTGTCTATAACCATCATACCCAGCACAGCTTCACTCAGATTCCCATTGACTGTTTGCCTTTTGTTACTTCAAAGCCACCAGTTCTATTCCCTCCTGCCACATTGCAGTAAGTAATCCAACTTAAGTGTTCATCCTCCCACTATCTGTCTTAGCTAAGCAGATGCTTACCTATAAAGTCCAATTTTTCAATTAAGTCCCTTCATTATCACAGAGTCCCTGATACTCCTGCATGGCTGTAACCATTTCTGTGGTTGCTTTTCCATATTTTGAAAGGGCAGGTTGCAAACAGCAAAGATTTCCAGCTACAGTGACAGATGCTGACCTGCAGTTCTACATCCTCCTGTCAGGCATTGTTGAAGAGCATCCACCCTTTCTCTAGCATACCTTACGAGAGCATGCCTTACAAGGTGTGTTAGTGCACTTCCACAGCTGCTTTCTATTTTACTTTTCCTATAAGAATGACTCATCTAAATCTCTGCTTCCTGCATTGCCTCACTTCTTGGAACTACTCTAGAGCTATGTCTACAATATTCACAGCTCTTCAGTAAACACAGTGTCTATATCACATGGATCAGAGATGACATGATTTTAGCAGAACAAAGCATGGCCTGCTTGCTTTGCAAATCAGATCAGACAAATGCCCTATGTCTCCCTATATCATCTCAACACAGGAGCCACACCCAAGGTATGTGAGACCCTGGACAAATACCATTTGCCAGACCCTATCCTATATGAGAAAAAGATGGTTAAAATGTTTTATAAAATTCATGGGAACATATGAAATATAGTGATCATTCCAGCAATGTTTTAAATGGGAAGGGAAGAATTACTTATATAGTTACTTACTATCCTTTGAGTGCACATGAAAATTCCTTATCATTAATGAAGATCCCCAAAATTGGCTTGTCAATCCCATTCTGGTCTTCCAATATCATGTAATTCCAAGAAAGGAATGCATTATTCTCTGCAGAAGTGACCTGATTATCCTCCCAGAATTGGGATTCTACCCCATAGGCCCTGTAGTGTTAGTCACAGAACTGCTAAGCATTTGGTCAACAGTACCTCTTCAACAGTGAGACCTGAAAAGGGCAAAGAGGGGGGTTAGGATTCAGAGAGGTCCTAGAAGCTTAGGTGCCTTGTCCAGATGGCACTGTCTGTCTAGGTGAATTTTGCACATCAAGTTGAGATTTATAACATTTTTTAAAAGGTGCTCTAAAAGGTGAGGCCCTGGATAGGGGTCCAGCTTCTCTGGATCAGAGCAAAATTATCCTAATGCATGGATCTCAGGTTCTGTTTTTTTATCATCTGTTCCTTGTACTAGTTTAGGTGTTAATTTATTCATTGCTCACTCTCTTCCCACTTTTCAGGGTTATGGGAGGATCAAACCTCAGACCTCATACAGGATAGACATCTGCTCTATCATTACATCCCCTTCCACAGAGGTTAAATTCTTTCGAGTGGCTTCCATATTGTCTCTGTATTGCTCACTAAATCGTAAACTCTGACTGTAAATTCCACTTTAACTTAATATCAAAAAGATTGCTTTTTCCTTAAAAAAGAAGATATATATAACAAACTCACATTATTTAAGATAATCAGAAGTGATCTGATTATCCTCTCATAGACCATATAGTGTTAGTCACAGAATATCTATCTATATCTATATATCTATATATAAAAATGGGAGTTTGTTCAGGCTTCAGGCTTCTCACCACAAGTCTTTGCTTTTCTAATATCTTCTTTCTCCTGAAAGTCCCTCATGGTGGAAATTCTCCCACTCTCTCCCTTCATCCTAACTTCTCACCCCTAAGCAGGGCAGATTTAATTTGCTCAGTTGCTTACCCTCTGGTATGGATTGCTCTGGCTCAGTCACACAAGGCCATTCAGTATAGCAGGATTGTTCTCCCTAAAAAAATCCATTGCTACTTTCACACCAGGTAGGTAGGTTGAGACTTTATGGTCTGGCCAGGGCAAGGCTGTTGATCTCTCTTTTCAAACTGTCTTCCAAAGGGCAGTCCCAATGTATCTTTCCCCCAGAAACCTGGGCCAACAGTGAGGAATTCATTCCTTTGTAATTAGATAATGTGATCAACAAAAAAAGCTAGAATATTGTTTAAATGTACATGGATACYGGCTCAGGAGGAACATTGAATATTTTAGCAAACACTTGTTAATCAATTAAAATTTCTTTCTGGCAAATTATCTGTTCTGATCCTTTAAAGATATTGGTTATTTGTTGTCCACAATTACAGTAAAAGTCTTTTCCTTTCTTCTTCTTTTAATCTTCCTTTTTAACTTTGACAAATAAATCTTTTGATACACAGATTTCCGAATTTTTAAATAACACAGCTATTAATCTTTTCCCTTGTAATTCATCTAATCCCTTTGACCTTAAAATGTTTCCTTTTACTATCTTATTGTTTTGCTAAACATTCATCAAATAATTCTGGAACAAACTCGTGAATTCTCTCTGCATTAACTTATATAAAATCATGTTAAATTTATTTGCTGTCACCCTTTTTCTGTTACACATTTTTATATAAAAGGCATTGTGTCTCAGTCTGCTCACTAATAAAGAATACCCTAGCAGACTTTTTATTCAATCGTTTTAAAAAGTCCAAAACCGTAGTATAATGTTTCTTTATCTAAAGGGCTTTCTGACTCCTATCATAATTATATAATTTCCTTACTCTCACTTTATAGAAGTGTTTTTATTAATAAAATGTGAATCAAAATTGAAATAAACTTAATTTTATTTCATAATCAACAAAACATTTCAAGTAAAAAGTACAACTAAAAAAATCTTCAATTTTTGCTTTAATTTCACATTTTACACAGTGCATGATATTTGTAAGATACTGGGAAACAGCCTTAGTTATATATGCCAAAGAATTTCTGCTGTTGTTTCCCTCATTTGAGAGCTATAAAGCAGATATTTTACTCCCCACAAAAATTCTAGGAAAAAAATATACTTTGCTTCTTTTCCTGTTAAACATTAAGAATGACTTGAAAGTTAAAATAGCCTTGTTATTGAGATTAAAGCTCTCTTGAAATCTTACTTGGCTACATCRCAACTTCTAAATTTTCTTATTTAAAAAAATAATTTACAAGAATTGAATATCCTGTGGGTTTTTTTTGTTGGTTTTGTTTTGCTTTCTTCCTTCCATCTTTCCCTTTTCCTTCTTTCTTTCCTTGTGTGCATATTTAATTAGAGAGCACCTTTCTATAGACATTAGGGAGAAAATTTTCCCTTGAGAAACAATGAATAATAAAAATTATATGAAATTAATAAAAAATGCTATATGGAATGTTTTATTATATAAAATATGTTTAGACACTATTAGCTGTGACCACTGTGCTGCAGAAGCTAAAATGAGAGTACATTTTCTTCACTAAAAAATCCCAATATTTAGAGAAACAAAGAGCAACATACACTAAATACTTTCTTATTCAAAAGTGAACCACAAGCTTTTGAATGATACTCCAGTGAATTTCTGTTATTAAATTCAAAGGGCAGCCCCTGACATGGGGCCACTGATGCTCTCTGGTACCCACGTTTAAGGATGTCCCCTCTTGGACACAGGTGAACCCCTGCAGACAGGGTCCTCTTAAATAACTGTCTGCACCAGCAACCACATGGCATGGTTTAACCATTCCACAAAGACTCTTCAGAGAAACTTGTATTGAAATTCATAGAGAAACAGACAGGAGATGATTCCTAATGGCTGAGAACCAGTCCAGGAAGAATAATTTTCCATGATTGAAGCTTTTCTTTTGATAACAGATTATCTCCCCAGTTACTCATCCTTATTTGTCTGCAAAGTTACAAGAGAAGATCCCTAGATAAAGTGCTTTTCCAGTTGCTAGAACCAAGTCTAAGAAAGAAAATTAATCCCTTAAGATAAATGTGAGCTCAAGGCCAAAACCAGTTTGCTTTTAGGTAGAATAATTAATTGAATGTGTGGTGTTCCTTTTCTAACAACATCACTTCAGTGGTGAAGAAGTTATATCCTCATACTAGAAAATTCAAGGATTTTTGCTTCAATAATATGATAATGATTGAGGAGATAAGCACCATAAGAGTCCATCTTGGAAAAATGCGTGTCAGAATTGGAGCATCTGGCAACAGCAACAGAGGTCGGCTTTCTTTGTTTGCTTCTCTCACTTATAAACGCATGGAATCAAGGAACTTCAGAGTCTCCAATGTTCTGCCGTTTTGTGCCTGTGTAAATCCATAAAAAATCCAAAATTGTAAAATACTTTATGGTTCAATTACTAAAGGAAGTAAAACTAAAATTCCTTAGGCTACAGTCCTATGGGAAAGTAAATGAAGATTATAAACTACACATAGCTGAAATTTTATTTTAATCTAAAGCACGTACTGCATCATAACAGATTCACAGATTAGAATCACTATCATGAATAAGCCTCACATAGGATGCAAAGTATATAAATATATAGCTATTGGGGAAAATGCTAATTTTATTATTATTATGTTTGCCAGATATAAGTGGGAAAAAAAATGTGTTCAAAGAAGATGTGTTTTACATTGTAATACCCAGCCTGTGTGAGCATATTCAAAATTCACTGGAAACTCATCTGTCATTTGGACCAAACCTTCAACAKACTGTTTTGCCTATTTGTTATTTCCTTTCAATAAAGGGGGGGGGGGCAATAAAGGAAAAACAAAAAGAAAGAAAGCGTCCTACTCAGGAATCTGGAAATGCCTTAATGATGGAATCATAGGCAGGTGGTGGCGGGATTGAGAAGCCCACCCGGAGGCTGTCGCTGGACCAGTGGAAGTCCGGCCGGCTCAGAGGTTGGGAGGCGTTGACAGAGGCGGATGTGCTGGAAGAAGGCAGGGTCATCAACTGACTCTCAGTTTGTACGGGAAGCGGTGGACACTGCAGAAACGGATGGAAGGTGGAAGCTCTGAAACTCGGTTTTCTCGGGAAGGAATTTGCTAGCTCCAGGGACGCTTGTCGCTGGAAAGTGAGGCTGGCCAGGCTGAGGTTGCTTCTGCGCTCGCAGCCGCTGTGGCGGTAGAACCCACTTCTGTTGAGGCTCTGGGTGTGCGAGGACCTGGACCTCCGGCTGGAGCTCCACTGTGAGATGGGAGCGCTGGCTCTTCTTCGAGACAGACAAACCAACAATGCCCAAATAAATCCTCCAATCACCAGCCCGATCGCCATGGATACCGTGAAGGACATTAGAAGGTCCTCTGAAACAAAGAATAAACAGCTGAATTGATTTTTAAATAAGTATTCCATTAAAAACACAGGACAGAGTGTAAACCGTAAATTCATGGGAAACGATTAATTTAAGCCTACTTTGGATAAGAGAAACGGTGCTACATGGATGGGCCCCAATTCGAGCCCATGCTTCCATTCATTCCAACAGATAGATACAAATAACACCCTTAGCTGCAGCGCTCCGGGTGGCTTATGCCATTTGTCATCTTTATGAACTAAAAATACTTTCACCAAGGCCATCCTTTAGCTCATCAGTTAGTTAGGGTTTGCGAATGTTATTCAAAGATGATTTCCTTGTGATTGACAATTGCAACCTAAGTGCCAAACTGATAAAGAATTTCCTGGTCACTTTGCCTTTTCCTCCCTCTGCTGTCAATCACACTAATTTCTCCCACTAGCCTTCTTCATGATGCCTCACTTCCTGTGCTCATTCTGAGACAGGAAGTACTGGCACAGAACCATCTGGAGAGCTGACTGATTGATGTCTTATTTCCTGAACTTCAAGACCATCTCATGGGTCTCTGACTCCAGGATGCCATGACTATGCAGCACCTGGGCTCCAGCGCATGCTGCTATCAAGTCCTGATTGGGATAATGGAATTCCTGTCCCATTCAGTCTCTTTTACATAGACACTTAACTATATCCTCCAATTCATAGAACTTGCTTTTTTATTTTTCCCCGTATCCTGGAAAAAAACAGAAGATTTAAAAAAAAGATGTCTATCCTTTTCCCAGATAGAAATGATATCTTACTGCTTCTTTCAAACTAAAAGCATTGTGTGAGGGGTAGGGGGAGCGGAGAAGGAAGGTGGGGGATGGAACTCTGGGCCTTGTACAAGCTACATAAAATCTTGTTGAGTAAAACTCAATATCTGATCCCTACTTTAAGTGGAAAAACCCCCTCCTGCTAAAAGACCCCTCCAGCCTCACTAATGACCATATTGTCCACCCTTCACTCTCCTGACGTAGTTCACAAGCCGTGCTGGTTTTCTCACTGTACCCAAGCTTGCCTTTTCCTCTCAACCACTGTGTTTTCCCCTATGATTTTCTTTATATCTGGATACAACTTTTTTAAATTAAATTATTTGTTTTAATTAGCTATACACAATGGCAGAATGCCATGATTCATTTCATATCACACATATAGAGCACAATTTTTCAAGTCACCAATTGTACACAAAGTATTTTCACACCTYTGTGTTTTCATACATGTACTCAGGATAATGATGTTTAACTCATTCCACCATCATTCTTACCCCCTAGTCCCCTCCCTTCCCCTTCCCTCCCCTTTGCCCTATCTAAAATTCTTGCATTCCTCCCATGCCCCCCCAGTCACCGCCATTATGAGTCAGCATCCTCATATCAAAGAAAATATTCTGCCTTTGGTTTTTTGGGATTGGCTTACTTCACTTAGCATTATATTCCCCAAACTCCATCCATTTACCTGCAAATACCATGATTTCATTCTCTTTTAATGCTGAATAATGTTCCATTGTGTATATATATCAAAATTTCCCTATCCATTCATCTACTGAAGGGCATCTGGTTTGGTTCCACAATTTAGCTACTGTGAATTGTGCTGCTATACACATTGATGTGGCTGTATCCCTGTAGTATTCTGTTTTCCCAATAAAATATAATTTATTTTTCTATTCTTTGGATCCAGGCTGGGTACAGGACTCAATTTGACCAAAAGAATGCAATGGAATCCAAACCTTGCAAGTTCAAGCCTAAGCTGCAGTAGACTTTCATTTTCTATCCTTGCTGTGCTTGGGAATTCTCTCATTGTGGGCATGTGGATAAGGCCAGTGGTGGTAACAGAAAAACATGGCCTGGTTCCCTGTATTGCTCTGGTCAAGAGCCTGCTATCTTTGACAAGTGAAAGGGATAATTCTAGAGAGGTCAGTTGCTAGTGAACTCACCAACTAAGGTTGAAAATCAGCAGAAAATCCATCAAGCTGATCTCATCCCAAATCATCAGCCCATGAAATTATGAGCGAGTAGATAATCATTGCTTTAGATCACCATGATTTGGGGGACATTATAGAGAGCAAGAGCTCACTGATAAAAGATTCTAAATGCAGATCTTTCCCCATCATGAGATTTGTAGGGGAATTTGTTTAGACTCCATAATTTCAGTATTTTTTTTAAATGATAGAGTTAGATTTTATGATTGCCAAAGTTTTTTTTTTCAGATTATTCTTGTAACCTATGTTAATGTATAGAAAATTTGTAAGACAGAAATAGTAAGTTGATCTTAACAAATACATGAGCATAATCACTCTGCCTAATTTTAGTGACCTTCTACCATATGCTGCCACATCTATATCCTGTGGAAAGGCATCCTTTGTGGTATTTTTTTCTGGCAATTATCTTCAAAAACAATTATAATCAAAATCCTGTAAACCAATGATTTATACCAAATCTAAATGATATGTTCTCCAAAAATAACATGATAATTTCTGAATTACAAGATGCTTTAGGACAGATTTGCTAGGCTTAGAACTGTTATTCTAAAATCTTTCTCATAAAAATAATATTGATATAGCCTTAGGGTACAATGTCCTCAGACAGATTTTGTGGAAGTAGGTTACATCCAAAGAAAGCAAATGGAGGTTGGGAGCGCCTGCCTAGCATGGGCAAGGCCCTTGGTTGGATCCTTGGCACCAAGAAAAAAAAGAAAAGAAAAAAAAAAGAGGGGTGACACAGAGAGCAGAAAAAAAAAAAAGCAAATAGATGTAGTCCACATTAAAGCTGGCCTTGTTGGTAGCACAGTATGATTCCTAATTTAGCTATCAGTGAACAAATATTTGAAAACTAAAATTGTGCTTAAAAAGAAATTTTAGGAATTCTGCATTGCCAAGACAATGACAGCCATGAAAATCCCATTTTCCAATATTTCTTAACAAAAATTTAAAAAAAGGAGAAAACAACAAACTGAACAAATAAACCATGAACATGGTTTATGCCTTCAGCCTATTTAGAAGATGAACATCAAAACTTCAAGTTACCAGAAAATGAATACTGGAAAAGAGCCACAGGAAGTTGTTTCATTTTTCTTCCCCTTTTTCCACGTCTATTGACTTTTAAAAACTTTTCACATGCTTTTTTTCCCCCTCCTTTTTATAATTTAAATTATATTTTTCTTTTTTCCAACCTAAGAATTCTATTTCTATTGTTTTATAACTTTTGACTCTAGTTTACATTATTTTTCCTCTATTTTTGAGTGTAGTGGTTCTTGGTAGTGTTTTATTTTATTGAGTTTTTGGTTTTTCTTTTTCTTCATAGCACTGGTGATCAAGCCCGAGACTTTGGCCACACTGGGCAAGTTCCCTACCAAGAATATACTCCCAGCCCTGCTCCACCCATGACCTAGTCCCACTCAAACCTTGGAGGATATGTTAACTTAAAAAGGAACAAAACCCTCAGCCAATGCAGCCCAGCTGGGGGAATCTGACAGCCCACTCCAGACACTGCAATAGCAGGAGAAATAACACAAGTGTGGTGGACACCACACCTGTCAAGGGTCTCAAATTTGTCACACACCCCATCAGATCATACAATTATGACAAGACTTTAAAGAGTGCCAAAGAGATGGGGTGGAGGTGAGGATAGGCTACCCCAACTCCTGCAACTCTCAGAGAAACACAGAGTTCTGTACAAAAGTATAAACAGAAAATAAATGCTTCAGACCCTTCATAACAATTGGAAAAGTCAGTACTGGAATGGCTTTCAAGTAACAGAACCAATATCAACGGTATATGAAGAACCCCCTCCCATTATGGTTTGAAGATATGGTGTCCCCTAAAAGCTCATGTGTGTGACAATGCAAAAATGTTCAGAGGTGAAGTGATTATGAGAGTTGTAACCCAATTAGTGGATTAATCCACTTGAATGAATTAACTGGGAGTCAGGTAGAGTGTGGCTGGAGAAAGTAGGTCACTGGGAGCATGACTGGGGTTTGTTTCTGGTAAGTGGAATTTCTCTGCTTCCTAGCTGCTATGTCCTGAGCTGCTTTCTTCTGCCATATCTTCTTCCATGATATTATGCCTCACCTGAAGCTCCAATCCAGGGCTACAGAGTTGGCCAACTATGGAATGAACCTCTGAAACTGTGAACCAAARTAAACTTTTCCTTTGCATTACAATGACACAACACTGACTAAAACAGCCCCCATTAACTAATAGGGGCTTCCACTCCCATTGAAAGAGCGACCACATAGGGTGCACCCCTCTACTTCTTCTGTCTACACCACATCTGCCTGAACCACTGGAGGCTAGAGGGACCTGACTCTTGCTTGACTTACAGAGGAAACARGTCCCTCAGTCTCCTACATGGTACACATTGTGTCAAAATCCCCTAATCAAGCTGAGAAAGCCACAGGGAGACTACACTATGAAATCCAACTGGAGTCAAGGGCAAACACTACACAAAAATCAATACACTAGGACACAATTTCAGAAGAAGGTAACATGACACCCCTAAAGTTAATAATTGCATAGTAACAGATTCTAAAGATATCAAAGGAGATAAAATGTATTCAAAAGAATGATTTTATAAAGCTCAATGAAATCCAAGAGAATACAAATAAACCAGTTACATGAATTTAAAAAGACAATGCAGGATATGAATGAGCATTTCCTTTAAGAGATCCAAAAGTCCAGAGAAAGTAAAAATTATGCCAGAGGGGAACGTGGGCTGGGGAGAGTTGATAAATGAATCTAAGTTATAGTTAGATAAGAGTAAGGAGCTCTGATTATGTACCATACAACTCAAAAAATCAGAAGAAAGGATTTTAAAAGTTTTTACCATATTGAAAAAATAAATTTTTGAGGGAACACATATGTTTAATCTGATTAGAGCATTATGTCATGTACACATGTATAGAATCATCACACAATGCTCCATTTATATGTCTCCATTAATATGTACAATTTCCATGCTTTTATGTATCAGTTAAAAATCAATT